TATTATTCATATACTAGTGGCTATTTTTCACACAATGCTCATAGAGAACTCTGAGTAGCTCAGTTAAGGTACTCAATTTTTATTGTTTTATGAATTTGTTACTCGGCTTTCTGCCTGTCCCCACTTAGTCGATTTCAAACGCGTTCAACGTTTATTATGTTAGCTATCGTTCTTGAGTTTTACATGCCCATCCTGTTGCTATCTAATTTGGTGACACACAGAAGCAGGTGGTTAAAGGGCTCGCAACGCTTCATCTCATCACCGCCAGAACGCTCGGTTCGGTTTTGGCGTTCCAGCGGAGGCTTCCACATCCGACTGGAATTCTGTTCATTTCAGAGAATGTTCTTTGCCCTTCCCACCGCAATTAAGCGCAGTTCCCATCAGCGTTATTTACTTATTTATTGTTCGAGATGAACTTATCACTGAAGACTCCCAAGTTCCTTTCAGGTTTTCTTTTCCTTTTTTTTTTTTTTTAGCTACTCGGACCCCTGTTTAGGTTTGAGGGAGAAGGAATCCGGAGGGATTGTTTTGTATTTAAAGAGAAACACTGTAGATATTTACACAGCCCACTGCAAGAAATCAACAACAGTGTCCCATGAAACCCTCACTGTACGTGGTTCTCTTTCTGTCCCTCTCCATTCTTCCGCCCTCCCTCCGCACTGTCACATCTCTACCCTCCCAGTCTTCCACCCCTGTCCCTGGCCCCCTCTTCCACATCCAGATCTTATCTTTGGGTGCACAAGGCCTTTGCTTTTCCTTATAATGCGAGTGTTAGTAATCGTTTATCTAAGCACACCTTTCTCTGGTTTTATCCATGTCTTGTGTCACATCGTCTTCAGACCGTACTTTTTCTCTTTTCCTCTTTTTAGTTCCATGACTTTATCAGGGAAATATTGCCCAGGATTTAAGAGAACTCATCATTACCTTTCAAAATAATTAGAATTTTGAAGAAGTGTTATGAATTTTAAAAAATAAATATTGAATTTGGAAGCAAATCTCCACACGGGAGGGAAAGACTTTCATGGGAAAAGAGGGGATGATCCAAATAAAAGAGGCATAATGGGAGCCTTTATCTGAAGAAGCAGAAAATGAGAATGTGGGAATTGAGCATCGGAATTTTGAAAAGCAAACAAACAAAAACACACGCAAAGATCAACATTGAAGAAATCCAGTTTCTAGTGGCATCCTATCAGTATTTGGAGGAATCAGGAAATTAAAACAGCCAAATAGTCTTTCTGAGTATGCTATATGAGCTTTTTAAAAACCAGTTCAGAGACCCCATGGACATGGGTGGGTGGGGAGTATGGTTACAGGAAAGGGGTGAAGGTAATTCTGTGTTCATTAAAGCAAAGTGAAAAAGCATATTCCAAATAACTTTTATCATTTCCTCTATATAACTTTTCTCTTTAAAAAAAAATTCTATTTTGAGCTGCTCAAGGACCCACAGTGGTGTTGTGGGTGACACGAGTCGGCAAGGTCAGCAGGTTAAACCCCCCAGCTCCTCTGAGGCACAAAGGGGACTTGGCCCGAGGGTCTTAGAAACCCAGCAGGGCCGTCCTCCTCCGCCTTTCAGACTCACTGAGTCAGAAGTGACTCTGGGCAGGGGTTTGCCTGATGGGCTTTGCCAGACTGCTCAGAGATACCATGGAAGCTCCGTGTTGCTTCCTTCCTTTCTTCTCCCACATCAGATCTTAAAGCTAAACAAGATATTACACAAAGATAAAAATAATTGGTCATCTAATGTATCTTATAAAGTACAGCGAAATGCCCAGAGTGTTTACATGTGCCCACATCCCTTTCTGTATCATTATTGCTTTGCACCACATATTGTTCTTAGGAATAGTTAGCCATCAGCCTGGGGACCATCAAAGAGCTAGAAAGAGATTAATCAGGAGAGTACTAAAGAAGTAAGTTTGTTTATATTTTCTCTGGTTTCAATTATTTCCTTAAAGGTTTCCTGAAAATATTTGAACAAAAGAAGGAAGCTAAAGATTTTTCAATTATAAAAGGAACTTGTAGGGATTGGCTGCTCTCTGCCCTGTTAGTTCGCTATGAGTTGGAATCAACTTGAGGGCAGTGCGTGGGTGCTTGGGCAGGATAAGATGTGTTATTTTCAACCACAACGTGTTGCTCTCCAGTCAGAGCAGCACCACTGGGTCAGTAACATCATCCCACACTGCTTACCGGACTAGAAGTCCCTCCAACCCGGGCCAACTCTAGGTCGAGGTCACCTTAGCACTTTGTCTGTATTATGCTACTTTTCTTGTGACACCCATTGCTTAATACCCATTAGGGTGCCTCTAGAGTCTCAACTTTTTGTAATTCCTTCAAATTTACAAGAAAGCTTTTAATTTTTTGATAGTCCTCATTTCTTTTAAGTGGCAGGATAGGGAAACAAATCATCCGATAGACAATCTGATGCATCTTATGAGCAAGTATTAATAATTATTTTCTCAAATATCCTTAAAGCATTTCTAGAAACAGTGATGATGCTTTTAATAATAGTTAAGGTTTACTGAGCATTTTCTATGGGCCAGGAGTAGTACAGTATTATGTACAGTTGGTAGTTCAATATTCACAACTATCCTATATGGTCAACGGCTATTACTCCCTTTTTACAGATGAGGAATCCCAAGCTTAGTCACCACGAAAATTGTCCCAGGGTTACCAAACAAATTGCAGAGGACAGAATTTATAGCCCTGCCTATTTCAATGATAAAACCCATCCATGCTTTTTAATGGTATTTTTAAAAGTTTATCTGAGAAATATTTGCCAGTATTGGATGGAAGAATCTACTGAACAGTACTAGAATCATTGCTAAGTCATGGTGCCACGATAAGATGATAGGGACATGCACTCACCCCTTTCCACTTAATAAAATGCTATTTTATCTCTGGACAAGTGTAAGAATAGAGATTGCACTGTGGATGACCAGGGTGTCTGCAGAAATGAATGAAGACCAATGTACAGCTATCAATATTTATTATGAATAGACTCGAAGCCAGGCCTATAGCAGAGAACAACAACAATGATAGTGCTTTATTCAATAATATTGCTTCTATAATAAATTACTGATAATCATTTATTTGCATTAGTATGCAGATAGTGTCTTAACTAATAACTTTAATAATATATGGCTCAAGTAGTTATTAAGTAGTATTCATTTTTCATATGAGAATATTTATATCTTAGTTGTTAAGGATTAACCTATAGTAATTTTATTTTATATTCTCTTTAATGTTTCCAGAGAAAATTTCTAAATGCATATATTATGGTAACTTTTTTTTCTTTGCTGCAAAATACATCAATTCTAAGATTTAATTTTAATACCCTGAAACATTCAACTCAGTAATTGACTCTAGGTGATACTTCATGTGAAAGTAATGCACATCTTTGTTCTGATCAAGACTGCACTGTACTTCAACGTGGCTTTTAGACATGTGAATTGTTAATGTTTTCTTTTTGAATAATGAATGTGTACTATATTATTGCATTTGTCTATTTTCTTTCATTTTGGAAGGCGTGCTAGTCTTTTAGTTTATTTTAACACCAAGAACTATGCATTTGCTATTATAAATGTATGGAAGTTTGTTTACCTTATTACATTTATAAGTTATATTTCCAAATAATAAAATGTACTATCATCAGTAGGTTGTGGCTTGTGTTATTTTTACTATGAGTGGTGAAACATTCATCTACATGCACTTTTTCCATCTTGCGACCATCTCTGAGGAAATGAATGAGAATGTGGGCTATCCTAACCCCTGCAAAGAACAAAGCCCATGTTGCGAGGGAAGACTTCTAGGCTAAGCAACTGGTCTGATAACATGTATACATAGGATATTCTGTATATATGAAAGGTTCTTTTTCAACCAAAAGATTAAAACAAATATTTATTTCATTATGAAGTAGTAAAATTGCCACTTTACTCTCAATTTTTAGCAACCCTTACATTCAACATGCACATCTCAGTACAGGGATAGATGCCTTTCTGATGTCAAAGGAAATGGAAATGATTTATCCCGAGACCAGTCTATTATGAACTGAGAGTCTTCTATGTTGTAAACCATGTTTGTCACTTTGCTACTTAAATTATTTTCCCTAATTTTTTCAATCAATGAGAAATTATGATGCAAAGTATAAGTATCTTGTATGCCATAATCACAGCACTTACTACTTTCTATAGTAGTTATTGGTTTGCTGGTTCATTTCTTCCTTTTAGAGATAAAGAACTCTCCAAATCACAAAAGTTGTGTTCAGTTTACCTTTGTATTTTACTACCTAGCAGCGTTTCCAGTTTAGTGGATAAATGAGCAATGTTTCTGAAGAACCTTTGCAAACCCCTTTTTATAATTATGTGGGACTCCACAGCATTATTTCTTTCTGTACTAAGACTCTATTTGATGCTTTTAGAATAGTATTGATATACCTGCCTGCTGGCAATTGTTTTCTGTATATTATTCAAGTAGAGACATTTGAAAATATTAATTTCCATTCCTATTGCCAACAAGATGATGCATTAAATAATTACAAGAAATTTCTCCTGGAAGTAAAAGAAATTACTGACATGTTTATGACCATATGAAACAATGTGTTCCACTCAGGGGAACAAAAATTAAACCTCTGGCTAACCGAGCCTTCTTAGACAGGGACTGAACTTCACCACCTCTGATTCGTGCACTTTGCAAGTGTTCATCAAATCTCACTGTGAAGAATCGACATTAGGTTGCCCTGTGATGCTAACTAGACTCAAAACTCAGTGCCCTTACTAAATATCAATATTTACCCCCTTTCTTCCAAAAAGAAGCCATGGAATCATTCTGTGTAAACCACAAGTGCAAAGTGGTACTATCACTTCTTATAGTTTAGTTTTAAAGGGATGTGGGAGAGCTATACCATATATATGTTCTGTACATTGTGTATAATTTTTGTATACGAAGGTGTACTGAATTCACTAGTTGGGAACCATCTTTATTCATTGCTTAAATTCTCATTTTAGGTCCCCCAGGACCTCCAGGTGGTCTGAGAATAGAGGACATCAGAGCCACTTCCGTGGCCCTGACGTGGAGCCGGGGTTCAGATAATCATAGCCCTATCTCTAAGTACACTATCCAGACCAAGACTCTTCTGTCAGAGGACTGGAAAGATGCGAAGACCGGTAAGCTTGGCTTTTCTGATGAATCGCTTCATGTTTTAAAGCACAAAACCTACACACCTGGAGTATTTTAAAGTTGTACCCACTACGCTGAAATGCATTGTTTCTTATTCAGTTTTAGTATTCCTGTTATTTGGCCATAAATATAATATACAGATACACAGAAAGAGAATAATAAAAGCTGTAGTGGAAGGTTTAGCATGTCTCAATCTATAATGGAAATTAAAGAAAGCTTCTTTACTTCCTTATTTGGCCTATTGTTGTTCTCAATTAGACTGATTAGGGAAAAAATTAATAATTGTGAATTTTTTAGCAGATCCCTTTTATGACATATTATTTATTTTTCATTTTAGCCAGCTATAAAAATACTATTGTTTCATATTTTAAAAAGCTACACTGATTATAAATGTCTAAGTATGCATTTAAATAGCACCAACATAAGTTTTTACTTTTTAATAATTATTTCTCTGGTGCTGACTTTCCCTAAAACAGATTTTGAGCAGTTACAATTTTTTCTTATAGCAAGGTTTTCTAAAAGGAAACTAAAAATAATTAAAGTGCCTGTTTTTCACCTGTATATTTATTATGGCAATTTTTCACATCATATGTAAATTAATTTTATTCTTTAACATCAAAGAAGATCAAAGGTCATTATAGTAATACCATCTGCTTCTTAAAAAGAAAATGTTCTTAAAAAGAATGATAATTGCCAGGGTTCCTTTACCCAAATCCCAACTTTTTATGTGTACAAAAAAAATTGACAAAAAGTACCTGCGCAATAGTTCCTAGAGTTGTTTTGTTGTTGTTTTAAAAAAAAATGTCCAAATGGTGAATAAAATATTTCACTTTTCAAAATTGAACAAGGAAAAAATAGAATGAATCCTAATATACCCCAAACTGGTTCTTATTTTAGGTTTAATTTAACTAGTGGACTTTATTATTCCTGCGCACAGAGCATTTTAGTTTAGGTTTATTTCTGTTTGGTAATTCCTTCCTCTCTTGAGGGAACAACAACAACAACAACAACAAACCCAAATATAAATGGGAAGCTTGATAAAAGGACATAGGATACATTGAATAGTCCGTTGTTGGCACATCTTAATGAGCCATATGGAGCTGTGGTGGCACAAATGTTAACAGTTCCAAACTGGCAGCCATGCTGCTGGAGAGGGAGGGTTTTCTACTCCTGTAAGAACACATGCTCGCAAAGACCCACAGGGGCAGTTCTGCTCTGTCCGGGAGGGTTGGTATCCGTCAGAATGGACTCAATGGGGGTGAGTTTGTTTTTTGAGAGTTTCGTTTGCATTTAAGTAGATAACACTCAGGTAGATTAGAAACAGGCAGAAAATTTTACTACTTAGGGTTGGGGAATAATCTATAAGTATACTTTTCAGAATCAGGTTATTAGAAAAATTAATTTTAAGGCATTTAGATACTTGGTAAATGAAAAGCATAGGCAATTTCTACTTTCCTGCAGAACATGAAAAGGCATAGTAATGAGACTATAGACTGTCAGCAGTATTAAATTACTGGCCACATTGACACCAATATTAGAACCTAGAGAACAAAGTGAAATGCAAACTGAACAAATCATTGAATTTTGGTTTGGCTCTGAAAAAAAGAATAGTACATGTGGTCACAATTTCCATTAATTTACTGATTAATGCTTATGGTGGAGCTCAATAAAAATGTTTCTCTTAAAATATGAAAAATCTTTAGAAAGTAAGTTCCACGAGACTGATGACTTCATTTTATTTATAATTCCATCTCTGGCATCTGGGTCAGGACCAGTCATGTTCATGAATTAAGCAGACATTTATTGAGCCCCCACAATGTCCCGTGTCTGTTTTAGAGGCTGGACAGACAGCTAAAGTCAGAGAAGACAAAACAGGAACAGAAGGAAGAAAGGGAGGGAGAGGGCAAAAAAAAGAAGGAAGGCTACCTCAATGGGCCTCTACTTTTGTAGGAGAGACTAGCAAAAGTAATTAGAAATTCAGGAAGGCATGTGGTTATTCATGCTAAAGAAGAGAAATCAAGGCTGGAGATGAGGGGTTACACTTTAAATAGAGGTTTCAGTGAACTCCTCACTGGAAAGGGACATGTGAGCAACAACCAGAGATAGCTGAGGGAGCTAGTTAGATAAAGTCACAGATTGAAAGGGAAAGAGTCTGCTTTGGTTTAAGAGCAGGGGAGACAAAGAAGAAGAAGAGCAGGGTAGAAACCACCTTGGGGGAAAGGTGGAGATCTGCGGGCTAGGGAATCCTGTGGCATTTGTCGGGCATGCAGACTTTGGTGCTTATTGTGAAGGAGAGGTGGCTTTACAGTGAGATGATCCCGTGTACAACAGAACAAAGCACTGTCGATCCCGCCCCACCCGCACAATCCTTGGTAAGTGTGAGCCCATGATTGCGACCAGCCCCTGTGTCACTACATCTCAGAGACGATCATCCTTTTATCCCCCTGACCTTTTTCTCTACCGAGCAGGGGGTCGTTTTCCAGGGACTGGTTCATCCTGATGACATGTCAGAAATACACAAGACAAAGTTTTATCATGTTCACTAGGATATCCAGTCCTGATCCAATGAAAGACCCATAGAAAATGTCCTCATGATTCTTCCCGGTTCCCAGAAGCAGGCATTGTTATGTCTTATTACAGACTTGACTGTTTGGAACCTCAAACAAGTCGAATCATATGATATGTACTTTTAATTGCCTGCTTATTTCCTTGAACATCATGTATGTGATAGCAGTCTACATAGTGATGTCTATTGGCATTTGATCCTTTTTATTGCTGAGTAACATTTTAGTATATTAATTCATATCATATGTTGCTTATATATTGCCTTATTTGAGTTATAGTCAATTAATATGGCCCTTCCAGTCATAGTCACTTATGTGATTTAATTCTGGAATTCATAAGCCTGTGGCGATAGTCCCATTTTGAAGGGCATTGTCTGTTAATGAACAGGGATAGGGTAAGAGTAAGTTCTGACATTAGTAGAGGGTGTGTATTGGACCACACCAATTTGTTTAATGGTTATCTTGGTTACTATTACTTATGATGGATATAAGGACCGATATGCTACAATTGATAGGAGGAAAGCTGAGAGAAAGCCTGAGAGAAAGCCTGTCTGATTAGGATTAGTAGGAGGCCATGCCTACTGGAAACGACTTGCCAGAGGTCCAAGTAACAAGGAATAAATAAGATACAGCCCAGGGGTGGAGAACAAATTATTATACGTAGTATCATTAAAAAGGTGAGGGATTATATGTTCATTTGATTGTATTATTGATACTCAATGATCAAATGGCTCCCATCAAAAGACCTTTCCCTGTGTGGAACTGGTAAGGAGGTGGGGGCAGATACTGATAGGATTCACCTTGAGTCATTGTGGCCAGGATTCCTTGCAATGCCATTCTGCTGCTTCTACAATGAGCCCTTTGAGAGGCAGGGGTTGTGGTCTCATCATTTTCAAGAACCAGCCGTGGAGTTTGTCCTCTGGACCCATCATGTGGGTTTCCCCTGCCTGACATTCAGGTTTGGGACTGAACAGCACCCGTCACCACATGAAACAGTTCCTCAAACTTTTGTGAGTTTCTGTGGGATGCTGAAGCAATTTTCAGAAGCCAGAACTGTGAGGGAATATACTCAAGGGAGGAGTGTGGCAGGGGGCCGGAGGGGTGGGGAGGAAATGGAGCTGAATACCATCATGAAAGAGTTAGACATTTGGAGCATCATCAGTCCCAAACTACTGGAAAGTAATCTGGCATTAATATTTCCAAAGGATTAATCTTGCTATCGATAGACATTTGAGTTATTTCCAATTTTGGACTATTGTGACTATAGCTGTCATGAATATATATATTTTTTATTTTCTTTTTTTTTTCTTTTTGGTGTGCCCAGATTTTATTTTTAGTAATGAGACACAGAACAATAAATTCCATAACTTTAAACAATGGTGGGCAAATCATGTTCCCCTGACCCTCCTCCCAAAGATAATCTATGCTGAAACTCTAACTCCCAGTACCTACGAATGTGAATCTATTTTAAAATAGAGGCTTGTGGACTTACTCTGTTAAGATGAAGATACAGTCTCTATATGCAATGCCTGGTTTTATTATAAGGAGAGGGATATGCGGAAGCAAACACCTGTAGTCAGAAGGCAGAGGGTGGTGGGAAGGATGGGAGCAATTGGAATGATGCCCCAAGGTCTGCCGGCAACCAGCAGAATCTAGGAAGAGGCAAGGAAGAATGCTTCGCTGGAATCGATAGATCGAGTCTGGTCCTGCTGACACTTGATTTAAGACATTTACTCTCCAGAACTCCATGAGGATGACTTTATGTTAAGTTCCATCCATCTTGTGGTTAATTGCCACAGGAGCTCTAGCAAATGAATTCGGCATCTACTGTCAATGTGACTTCTCTCAGGTGATTTGAGGTTGGACTACAGATAGTTTGAGGCCATTCCAGGATGCTCAGGTCACATCTAGAATATTGCGTTTCCTTCTATGCTGCATACTCTTGGGACAATTGACAAAATATTGTTGGAGGCAGTGATGGCATGTTGGTCAGAAGCGATGTTTTGGGAGCAGTTGAGAGAATCTGTTACATGTGAACCAAAAAGGAGAATAAGAATGTCTTTATGACATAGGTGTGAAATAGCATTTATTTCATTTCTGCCAATCTTTTATCTACAGGAAAGCTTAATTATTATTTAATATACCTATTTAAATATGTTTAAGTAATATTATGGTAAATGTGATTTATCAAGGTCTTCATTAACCATATAATAACTTTCTATTCCTTTACACAAGGGCTCAATAACTAAAATGTGAATGTGATCTCGTTGCTTAATAAAAAGAGACAATGAACAATAAAAAAAGAATGTCTTTATGTATAAAGTTCTGCCATATAGAAAAGATCATTATTATTATTATTATTATATACTTGTTGCAATTAATATCTCAGCACATACACATTTCTCTTCACATCAAAATACTTA